TTCGTCTCTCCCTCCCCGAGCTCTCCCAATGAGACCCTCGCTCAATTCACGACACGTGGCGCACTCTGTTGAGTACAAACCTCGATAATCGTGACAAACAAACCTCGATAATCGTGATAAACCTCGATTATCGTGATGAACCTCCATTATCGTGATAAACCTCCATAATCGTGATAAACCTCCATCATCGTGATAAACCTCCATCATCGTGATAAACAAATCTCGATACTCGTGCTCTCTGTTTCTTGCCGCTTGGCGTGTTTTGGAGGGGGACTTTGCGCCCTGTGCTCAGCCATCGTTTGTAGGAACCCCGGCGGCTCCCGGGCTCCGAGTGAGAGGGCCGCTCAGAGCCTCCTCGCCCCAGGCAGCGGCCGTCGCCCCCACACCGCCGCTCAGTTCACCCGCGCCGTGTCCAGGGCTCGGGCAGGGGCGAGGGGCTGAAGGTCACCGCGTGGGGGCGATGTCGTCCACCGGCTGTCAACTAGGACCCACATCTCACAGAGAGGGCCCTTGGGAGGTTCACCTGCAGCATCGGTTCTGGCGAGCCTGACTCCGCTGCTGATGAGACACTGAATGGCGAAACCAGTCCAGAGTTGTTTACTTGCGTTATACCAACGCTCCTAAATTCATTCTTCTCTCCCAGAAGATGGGCCGTGTGGATGATGGGATGTGTCAAAAAGAAACGGTTATGGGAAGGATGAATTGTCCACTCATCGATGTTGACTTCTTGGAGTGTCCCAGAAGTGGCAGCCGTGCGAGCCACGTGCATGTCAATTAGTCACGGGGCTGATTGGCAAATTGCTAGATTGGAGAGGGTGAAGACAGGAGGTGGGGGAGTCGAGCGGGAGGGGTGTTGATGTCACTGAGCACACCGTGACCTCACGAGGCACGCACGGAGTGATCATTAACACGGTCGTGCGGAACGCGAGGGTTTGTGAACAGCCGGAACACTGCGGGTTCATAAAATGTGTGTGTGAGCGTGTGTGTGCGTGTGTGAGTGTGGGGAGCGTGTGTGTGCGTGTGTGAGTGTGTGCTTGCGAAACGTAGACCCCCCTAATGGAACATCTTCGCTGGAGATGTTCCATTAGGATTGTGTGAAGAGCTCACAAATCCTTTAAAGATCTGGACACATTCCCATCGGTGAGCTCCTCCGGCAGGCAAAGCTGCGCTGGCAGGGTCATGTAGCCCGCATGCCCAATCACCGCATGCCTAAACAGCTTTTGTTCGGCCGGATCGAGGGGGCTAAGCGGGCGCGGCACGGGCTAGAGACTAGATGGAGTGATGTGGTACAGGAGGATGTGGAGCTGAGTGGACCTGCCGATGACTGGTACCAGCGGTGTCAAGATCGGCCTCTGTGCAGGAGGCTCGTGAAAGACGCTGCTACTGGGCAGTTGGAAGCAGTCGCCCTCCAACAACAACAGAGGGCGGAGGAGCGACGCTCACAACAACGCGCGGAGCGCCAGGTGGATAAAGCACAGCAAATCGGAACAGTAAGGGGGCACAGGTGGTGCATCAGCCACTCATCTTAGTCAGTCGACCCGTGGCACCTGGGTCTGCCCCGTAACCTCCTGCCAGCGGGCGTTCGACACTTCACGTGGCCTCAAGGTGCACATGGCCTGGCACAAGCGAAGCGTCGTGGTGACGTGACCACCGCTTAGTGGCGAATGGCGGTTGTTGTTGTTGTTGTTGTGTGTGAGTGTGGAGTGTGGTAGTTTAGCGGTTAGCGCGCTGCGCTTCGAAGTCGGTGACCCGGGTTCGATTCCCGCTCACGGCCAACACTAGTGACGATTATCTGAACTGGTTTGGGCTTCCCCTAGGACGACTCAGGCTCAAATGAGTACCGGGTTTGATGTGTAAACATCGCCACTAGGGAGACAAATGCAGCCGGGCGTGGTGTTGGCCAACCACCCCCTCGTGTGCCGCGCCGGCCTTTGTAGGTGCTCGCTAACTGCACTTTCCCCAACAGTCTGTTCAGGCTATACGGGGGATCTTTGTCTTTGTGTGAGAGTGTGGGCAGTGTGCTTATGATTAGCTCCGGTTTGACAGCAAAGGCATCACTCCGAATCAGTCGAGCGGCATTATCTTTCATCGACTGAATAATACTGCGTCGGAGCGACCTGGTCTGTCACTGCACATGAAGATTCGGGTCTTCTCGACCACAGTCATGCCCTCCCTTCTCTACGCTTGCGAAACGTGAACCCCTCGAATGAAACATCGACGCCGGTTAGAAACATTCAAGCTGACCTGTCTCCGATCCATCCTGGGTTTAACTTGCAGGCTGAATTGTGGTTGAAGGATCTGAACACAGTCCATCAGTGAGCTCCTCTGGCGAGTGAGGCTGGGTCATGTAGCCCGCATGCCCAGCCACCGCATGCCCAGCCACCGCGTGCCCAGCCACCGCGTGCCCAGCCACCGCGTGCCCAGCCACCGCGTGCCCAGCCACCGCATACCCAGCCACCGCGTGCCCAGCCACCGCGTGCCCAGCCACCGCGTGCCCAGCCACCGCGTACCCAGCCACCGCATACCCAGCCACCGCATTCCCAGCCACCGCATACCCAGCCACCGCGTGCCCAGCCACCGCGTGCCCAGCCACCGCATACCCAGCCACCGCATTCCCAGCCACCGCATACCCAGCCACCGCATTCCCAGCCACCGCATACCCAGCCACCGCGTGCCCAGCCACCGCGTGCCCAGCCACCGCGTGTCCAGGAGAACCACGCTGAGTCACACGACTCGTTTTCAGGAGGCCCCTGCCGCCACATTTGGGTTTTTATTTCATAAAGTTTTGAGCCGACTAATGACGAGATGTTGTTGTGTTTGTTATTCACGTGGGGAGGAGGAAAGCGGAGCACGAGGGAGCAGCGCTTTATCCCCGTACAGGTGGAACAGATGGAGATTAGTCCACTCGCCGTACTGCACGGCTCCTCGATGCGCCCCTGTTAGAGGCTATGCGGGGGAACTTTGTTTGTGTATGAGGTGTCTGTGGCATCTCCGTGTGGTGAGTGTATAAACTAAACAATGTTTTATGTTACCAGCTAAGTCCCCACGGTAAGAATCTGTAGGGTATGTGTGATGAGTATCAATGTGTGATGAGTAGCTATGTGTGCTCACTATCTGCGGGTGATACGCTGTCAATGTGTTACTGAGTGTGTGCGAAAAGCTGTTAATGTTTGTCGGTCTGTGTGAGAGTGAATGTGTGTGGGTGTGGGGAGCGGTGGCGTAATCGTCAGCGCACTGCACCACGAACCCGGCTACCCGAGTTATCTTCCAACTCACTACTAACAGTACCCGGGGAGACAAAGGCGGCCGGGCGTGGTGCTGACCACCCACCCCCTCGTGTGCCTTTAGAGTGCTACTCGCTAACAGTCCTTGTCTCAACAGTCTGTGGAGGCTATCCGGGGGGCCTTTGTCTTCGTGTTTTTGTGCTGACTGATTTTCTACATTGCCTCGGCCTCCTGCAGCCAGTCACAGCGCATTCACATCGTCACCGTCATCAGCAAGGAGGTGGCGAGATGTTAACTACCTCACCCGCTATACAGGATGTCGTGGGCTCGATCCCTGCTGTATATTTGGAGTGTGCGCGTGTCTTTCTCTCTCCGTGGTCGCCTGGATATTTATCCAGGTCCTCTAAGTCCCCCCCCAACTCCACATTTAGAATCAACAGCAGGCGTTGAGAGAGATGTCTGGCTGCTGTGACATCTCGACACGATGGAGTTTAGAGAGATGTTTGACTGCTGTGACATCTCGACACGATGGAGTTTAGAGATGTTTTACTGCTGTGACATCTCGACACGATGGCCTTGAGAGATGTCTGGCTGCTGTGACATCTCGACACGATGGCCGTCACGGGGGGGAGAAGAACCGGGTTTTCGAATTCGCTAACAAACTCGGCATTCCAAGAGCCGCAGGGAGCCGCCCGCAGGCATCTCGTGCGTGACCTGCGGGTCGCTTCTGCGGGGCCTTACCCGGTAAAACAAACTGCACACAGTGAAGTCGCTAACATCATCGCTTCTCGTTCGATCTCCCGGAGCGCCAGGTTGCTGACATCCTTGCCCACGCCTTATCATATTAGCACTTCCGATATAGTACGGCTGGTGACGTACGGTACGAATGAAGTTCAAAATACGTACACTCATAATGTATACAGGTCCAAGCAGAGTCATGGACTACAAGACGTCTCGCCTACAGCGTGGTGGGGTAACGCGTGGGAACTCCCACCTCTTACAAGACGTCTCGCCTGCAGCGCGGAAGAGTAGGCCAAATATAAGCACTCTGCAGGGGCTGTCTATAGCGACCATCGAAATGGCGACCGTCAAACCCTAACTTTTTACCCTTTTAGCGTATTATGCAAATGTCGTTCCTTGACCCCCAACCCCCCCCCTCCTCTTATGCAAATGCTCCTCCCCCCACCCCTGCACCTGGGGCTGAGATTCCCCCCGCCCCCCTCCCCCCACCCCTGCACCTGGGGCTGAGATTCCCCCCGCCCCCCTCCCCCCACCTCTGCACCTGGGGCTGAGATTCCCCCCCGCACTCGAGAGAGCGACCACTGGGCAGGAGGCGACCCCCTCGCTCGCTCTCTCTGCAGGCGACACAAACACGCGGAGAGTGGGGGTAGCCAGAGAGGGGATAGCGAGAGAGGGGATAGCGAGAGAGGGGATAGCGAGAGAGAGAGGGGGTAGCGAGAGAGGGGATAGTGAGAGAGGGGGTAGCGAGAGAGGGGATACTGAGAGAGAGGGGATAGCGAGAGAGGGGATAGCGAGAGAGGGGGTAGCGAGAGAGAGAGGGGGTAGTGAGAGAGGGGATAACGAGAGAGAGAGGGGGTACTGAGAGAGGGGGGGGGGGGTAGCGAGAGAGGGGATAGCGAGAGAGGGGGTAGCGAGAGAGAGAGGGGGTAGTGAGAGAGGGGATAACGAGAGAGAGAGGGGGTACTGAGAGAGGGGGGGGTAGCGAGAGAGGGGATAGCGAAAGAGAGAGGGGGTACTGAGAGAGGGGGGGGGTAGCGAGAGAGGGGATAGCGAGAGAGAGAGGGGGTAGTGAGAGCAGAGGATATGGGGGGCCCCGTGGTGGACGAGGAGCGGCCGCGCTGGGACAACAAGGTGCAGTACATCCTCACCTGCGTCGGCTTCGCCGTCGGACTCGGCAACGTGTGGCGCTTCCCGTACCTGTGCCAGACGTACGGCGGAGGTGAGGCTCTCTCACTCACTCACTCTCCTGTGAGACACACTCACCTCCGTGTGTGAGACTCACTCACTCAGCTGTGAGACTCACTCACTCAGCTGTGAGACTCACTCACTCAGCTGTGAGACTCACTCACTCAGCTGTGAGACTCACTCACTCACCTGTGAGACTCACTCACCTGTGAGACTCACTCACTCTCCTGTGAGACACACTCACCTCCGTGTGTGAGACTCACTCACTCAGCTGTGAGACTCACTCACTCAGCTGTGAGACTCACTCACTCAGCTGTGAGACTCACTCACTCAGCTGTGAGACTCACTCACTCAGCTGTGAGACTCACTCACTCAGCTGTGAGACTCACTCACTCACCTGTGAGACTCACTCACTCACCTGTGAGACTCACTCACTCACCTGTGAGACTCACTCACCTGTGAGACTCACTCACCTGTGAGACTCACTCACTCACCTGTGAGACTCACTCACCTGTGAGACTCACTCACCTGTGAGACTCACTCACTCACCTGTGAGACTCACTCACCTGTGAGACTCACTCACCTGTGAGTCTCACTCACCTGTGAGTCTCACTCACCTGTGAGACTCACTCACTCACCTGTGAGACTCACCTGTGAGACTCACTCACCTGTGAGACTCACTCACCTGTGAGACTCACTCACTCACCTGTGAGACTCACTCACCTGTGAGACTCACTCACTCACATGTGAGACTCACTCACTCACATGTGAGACTCACTCACTCACATGTGAGATTCACTCACCTGTGAGACTCACTCACTCACATGTGAGACTCACTCACTCACCTGTGAGACTCACTCACTCACATGTGAGACTCACTCACCCGTGAGACTCACTCACCCGTGAGACTCACTCACCTGTGAGACTCACTCACCTGTGAGACTCACTCACCTGTGAGACTCACTCACTCACCTGTGAGACTCACTCACCTGTGAGACTCACTCATTCACCTGTGAGACTCACTCTCTCACCTGTGAGACTCACTCACCTGTGAGACTCACTCACCTGTGAGACTCACTCACCTGTGAGACTCACTCACTCACCTGTGAGGCTCACTCACCTGTGAGACTCACTCATTCACCTGTGAGGTTCACTCACCTGTGATACTCACTCATTCACCTGTGAGACTCACTCACTCACCTGTGAGACTCACTCACTCACCTGTGAGACTCACTCACCTGTGAGACTCACTCACCTGTGAGACTCACTCACCTGTGAGTCTCACTCACTCACCTGTGAGTCTCACTCACCTGTGAGGCTCATTCACTCACCTGTGAGACTCACTCACCTGTGAGACTCACTCACTCACCTGTGAGACTCACTCACCTGTGAGACTCACTCACTCACCTGTGAGACTCACTCACCTGTGAGACTCACTCACTCACCTGTGAGACTCACTCACTCACCTGTGAGACTCACTCACCTGTGAGACTCACTCACTCACTCACCTGTGAGACTCACTCACCTGTGAGACTCACTCACTCACCTGTGAGACTCACTCACCTGTGAGACTCACTCACTCACTCACCTGTGAGACTCACTCACCTGTGAGACTCACTCACTCACCTGTGAGATTCACTCACCTGTGAGACTCACTCACTCACATGTGAGACTCACTCACTCACCTGTGAGACTCACTCACTCACATGTGAGACTCACTCACCCGTGAGACTCACTCACCCGTGAGACTCACTCACCTGTGAGACTCACTCACCTGTGAGACTCACTCACTCACCTGTGAGACTCACTCACCTGTGAGACTCACTCATTCACCTGTGAGACTCACTCTCTCACCTGTGAGACTCACTCACCTGTGAGACTCACTCACCTGTGAGACTCACTCACCTGTGAGACTCACTCACCTGTGAGACTCACTCACTCACCTGTGAGGCTCACTCACTCACCTGTGAGACTCACTCATTCACCTGTGAGGTTCACTCACCTGTGATACTCACTCATTCACCTGTGAGACTCACTCACTCACCTGTGAGACTCACTCACTCACCTGTGAGACTCACTCACCTTTGAGACTCACTCACCTGTGAGACTCACTCACCTGTGAGTCTCACTCACTCACCTGTGAGTCTCACTCACCTGTGAGGCTCATTCACTCACCTGTGAGACTCACTCACCTGTGAGACTCACTCACTCACCTGTGAGACTCACTCACTCACCTGTGAGACTCACTCACTCACCTGTGAGACTCACTCACCTGTGAGACTCACTCACTCACCTGTGAGACTCACTCACTCACCTGTGAGACTCACTCACCTGTGAGACTCACTCACTCACTCACCTGTGAGACTCACTCACCTGTGAGACTCACTCACTCACCTGTGAGACTCACTCACCTGTGAGACTCACTCACCTGTGAGACTCACTCACCTGTGAGACTCACTCACTCACCTGTGAGACTCACTCACCTGTGAGACTCACTCACTCACCTGTGAGACTCACTCACCTGTGAGACTCACTCACCTGTGAGACTCACTCACCTGTGAGACTCACTCACCTGTGAGCAGGTGAGACTCACTCACTCAGCTGTGAGACTCACTCACCTGTGAGACTCACTCACCTGTGAGACTCACTCACTCACCTGTGAGACTCACTCACCTGTGAGACTCACTCACTCACCTGTGAGACTCACTCACCTGTGAGACTCACTCACTCACCTGTGAGACTCACTCACTCACCTGTGAGACTCACTCACCTGTGAGACTCACTCACTCACCTGTGAGACTCACTCACTCACCTGTGAGACTCACTCACCTGTGAGACTCACTCACCTGTGAGCCTCACTCACCCATGAGACTCACTCACTCACCTGTGAGACTCACTCACCTGTGAGACTCACTCACCTGTGAGACTCACTCACTCACCTGTGAAACTCACTCACCTGTGAGACTCACTCACCTGTGAGACTCACTCACTCACCTGTGAGACTCACTCACTCACCTGTGAGACTCACTCACCTGTGAGACTCACTCACCTGTGAGACTCACTCACTCACCTGTGAGACTCACTCACCTGTGAGACTCACTCACCTGTGAGACTCACTCACTCACCTGTGAGACTCACTCACTCACCTGTGAGACTCACTCACTCACCTGTGAGACTCACTCACTCACCTGTGAGACTCACTCACCTGTGAGACTCACTCACCTGTGAGACTCACTCACTCACCTGTGAGACTCACTCACCTGTGAGACTCCCTCACCTGTGAGACTCACTCACTCACCTGTGAGACTCACTCACTCACCTGTGAGACTCACTCACCTGTGAGACTCACTCACCTGTAAGACTCACTCACTCACCTGTGAGACTCATTCACATGTGAGACTCACTCACCTGTAAGACTCACTCACCTGTGAGACTCACTCACTCACCTGTGAGACTCATTCACATGTGAGACTCACTCACCTGTGAGACTCATTCACATGTGAGACTCACTCACCTGTGAGACTCACTCACCTGTGAGACTCACTCACTCACCTGTGAGACACACTCACCTGTGAGACACACTCACCTGTGAGACTCACTCACCTTCGTGTGTGAGACCGCTCACCTGCGTGATTCTTTGTGTGTTCCACCAACCCCAATCAATTTGTGATTCCGTTTCAGCCCGAATGTAATTGTACATTTCACAGGTAACAGCACCACCACGAGCGGAGCCACATCCACCACCATTATTAATCTACCACCACCATCACCAGCACAATCATACATCATCACGACCGTCACGACGATCATCACGACCATGACTACCGTCACCACCGTCACCACCAGGCACCACAACCATCACCACCACCATCATTACTACCATCAACACCACCATCATTACGACCATCACCACCAACAACAACCGCCATTCGCCACGAAGTGGCGGTGACGTCACCACGACGCTTGTGCCAGACCATGTGCACCTTGAAGCCACGTGAAGTGTCGAACGCCCGCTGGCAGGAGGTCACGGGGCAGACCCAGCAGGTGCCACGGGTCGACTGACCGAGATGACCGAGATGACTGGTTGATGCACCACCTGTGCCCCCTACTGTACCAACTTGCTGTGCTTTAGCCACCCGGCGCTCCGCTCGTTGTTGTGAGCGTCGCTCCTCCGCCCTCCGTTGTTGTTGGAAGGCGACTGCCTCCAACTGCCCAGTAGCGTCCTTCACGAGCCTCCTCCACAGAGGCCGATCTTGACACCGCTGGTACGAGTCATCGGCAAGTCCACTCATCTCCACGTCCTCCTGTACCACATCACTCCATCTCTGCTCTAGTGGTGCTGGTAGTAATGGTTGGTAATGGTGACACAGAACAGCTCAGATCCATGACCCACGGGGTAAAGAGGCGAAATTGTTTACCCACGATTAGCGCTTACAATGTCGACTCCGTGAAAGTAATAATTATTTATCAAAAAGGGCCACGCTGACTTGCATGACTCGTTTTCAGGAGGGTTCTGTCATCACTACTTTTGTTTTTTATTCCATATATTTTCAACCCCAACGAGTGAAGAGTTGTTTTTTGTCGTGTTTGTTATTCACGAGGGGAGGAGAAAAGCGGAGCGCCCAGAGAAACCCCCAAGCCTTGCACGAGGGGGCAACGCTCTATCCCCGTCAAGATGGAGTGAAAAGATGGCGACTAGTCCACTCGCTGTGGAAGCCGGGGCACGGCTCCGCGACTCCCACGGGGAAGGGAGTCTCACCGCCCATCTGTGTGTGGTCCACCAACCTTCGCTCGTGACTCCACAGCGCTGGGTCACAGCGGCCACGGCCTGGCTGAGTTAATGATGATGTCGAGTAAAAGGCGCGGCCCTGCAAGTGTCGGCTCAAACCACTGCCGCGGGAAGGGCCCTCCAGTGCGAGAGGGAGATCTCGAGTGCTCTTTCATGCTGGACAGCAGAGCTTGGAAGAAGCCGTGGGAGCTACCCACACCAAGCCTCACCACCACCACCACCACACTCGGCCTGCCGACGTCTGTGTGTGCGTGTTGAACTTCTTTCGCACCGTGCGTAGGCAGCTGTGCTCATCGGAGGTGCGGATCAAGGACGACGAACTAAACTGTGATAGTAACCATTTTATCTCTCCGCTCCATCTCCCCAAATCTCTTTCCATCCCCTGCCCCTCCATCTCTCCCATCATCCTCCTCCTCGTCGGCCACCTCTGCGCCCCTTCCCCCCACAGGCGCCTTCCTCATCCCCTACCTCATCGCGCTCGTGGTGGAGGGGATCCCGATATTCCACCTCGAGCTGGCCATCGGGCAGCGGCTGCGCAGGGGAAGCGTCGGGGTGTGGAACACCATCCACCCCCTCCTGGGCGGCGTGGGTACGAGACCCCCACTCGCTCACTCGCCCACCCCACTCGCTCACTCACTCACGTCACTCACTCACTCACACCACACTCACTCACACCACTCACTCACACCACACTCACTCACTCCACTCAGTTACACCACTCACTCACACCACTCACTCCACTCACATCACACTCACTCACTCACTCACATCACACTCACTCACTCACTCACACCACACTCACTCACTCACCCACCCCACTCGCTCACTCACCCACCCCACTCACTCACATCACACTCACTCACCCCACTCACTCACTCACACCACTCACTCACACCACACTCACTCACTCCACTCAGTTACACCACTCACTCACACCACTCACTCCACTCACATCACACTCACTCACTCACATCACACTCACTCACCCCACTCACTCACTCACACCACTCACTCACCCCACTCACTCACACCACACTCACTCACCCCACTCGCTCACTCACACCACTCACTCACTCACATCACACTCACTCACCCCACTCACTCACTCACACCACTCACTCACTCACATCACACTCACTCACCCCACTCACTCACTCACACCACTCACTCACACCACACTCACTCACCCCACTCAGTTACACCACTCACTCACACCACTCACTCCACTCACACCACTCACTCCACTCACACCACTCACTCCACTCACACCCTCAATCACTCACCCCACTCACTCACCCCACTCACTCACTCACACCACTCACTCACCCCACTCACTCACACCACTCACTCACACCACTCACTCCACTCACACCACTCACTCCACTCACACCACTCACTCCACTCACACCACTCACTCACCCCACTCACTCACCCCACTCACTCACACCACACTCACTCACCCCACTCACTTACACTACTCACTCACCCCATTCACTCACTCACACCACTCAATCACCCCACTCACTCACACCACACTCACTCACCACACTCACTTACACCACTCACTCACTCACACCACTCACTCACTCACACCACTCACTCACACCACTCACTCCACTCACACCCTTACTCACTCACACCACTCACTCACACCACTCACTCACACCACTCACTCCCATCACACTCACAGCACTCACTCACCCCACTACCTCACCCCACTCACTCACCCCACTCACTCACTCACGCCACTCACTCACATTACACTCACTCACACCACTCACTACACTCACACCCTCACTCACCCCACTCACTCACACCACTCACTCACTCACACCACTCACTCACTCACACCACTCACTCACATCACTCACTCCACTCACACCCTCATTCACTCACACCACTCAGTCACTCACACCACTCACTCACTCACCACTCACTCAGACCACTCACTCACACCACTCACACCACTCACACCACACTCACTCACCCCATTCACTCACACCACACTCACCCCACTCACTCACACCAATCACTCACTCACACCACTCACTCACACCACTCACTCCACTCACAGCCTCACTCACACCACTCAGTCACTCACACCACTCACTCACTCACCCACTCACTCACTCACACCACTCAGTCACTCACACCACTCACTCACACCACTCACTCACCACTCACACACACCACTCACTCACCCACTCACTCACTCACACCACTCACACCACTCACCACTCGCTAACCCCACTCACACCACACTCAATCACACCACTCACTCACACCACACTCACTCACACCACTCACTCACACCACACTCACTCACACCACTCACTCACACCACATTCACTCACCCCACTCACTCACTCACTCACACTACTCAATCACACCACACACACCCCACTCACTCACACAACTCACTCACACCACTCACTCACCCCACTCACTCACTCACACCACTCACTCACATCACACTCACTCACACCACACTCAATCACACCACTCACTCACACCACACTCACTCACACCACTCACTCACACCACACTCACTCACACCACTCACTCACACCACATTCACTCACCCCACTCACTCACACCACTCACTCACACCACACTCACTCACACCACTCACTCACACCACACACACCCCACTCACTCACAAAACTCACTCACACCACTCACTCAGACCACTCACACACCACACTCGCTAACACACTCGCACACACTTACCACGACACACAGAGAACCACACACTCACCACGACACACACAGAAACACACACTCACCCTGATACACACTCACGACGACACACACAGAACCACACACTCACCACGATACACTCACCACGACACACACTCACCACGACACACACTCGCCATGACACACACAGAAACACACACTCACCAGGCCACACACTCACCACACCACAGTTACTCGCCATGTGTGGTGGTAGTCTGATTGCGTCCCCAGGCAAGAGCTCGTGAGATGATGATGAGGAGGAGGAGAGCAGTCAAAGCTGCAGGGTGCCCCCCGGGGGGCTGTCACCAAAATAACAAAAGGCGAAGTGAAGAAAGAAAAACCAAGAAAGTTAAACCAAGAAAGTAAACCGAGAAAGTAAACCGAGAAAGTAAACCAAGAAAGTAAACCGAGAAAGTTAAACCAAGAAAGTAAACCAAGAAAGTAAACCAAGAAAGTAAAACCAAGAAAGTTAAACCAAGAAAGTAAACCAAGAAAGTTAAACCAAGAAAGTAAACCAAGAAAGTAAACCGAGAAAGAAAAACCAAGAAAGTTAAACCAAGAAAGTAAACCAAGAAAGTAAACCGAGAAAGAAAAACCAAGAAAGTTAAACCAAGAAAGTAAACCAAGAAAGTAAACCAAGAAAGTAAAACCAAGAAAGTTAAACCAAGAAAGTAAACCAAGAAAGTAAACCGAGAAAGTAAACCGAGAAAGTAAAACCAAGAAAGTTAAACCAAGAAAGTAAACCGAGAAAGTAAACCGAGAAAGAAAAACCAAGAAAGTAAAACCAAGAAAGTAAACCAAGAAAGTAAACCGAGAAAGTAAACCGAGAAAGTAAAACCAAGAAAGTTAAACCAAGAAAGTTAAACCAAGAAAGTAAACCGAGAAAGTAAAACCAAGAAAGTAAAACCGAGAAAGAAAAACCAAGAAAGTTAAACCAAGAAAGTAAACCGAGAAAGAAAAACCAAGAAAGTAAAACCGAGAAAGAAAAACCAAGAAAGTTAAACCAAGAAAGTAAACCGAGAAAGAAAAACCAAGAAAGTAAACCGAGAAAGTAAAACCAAGAAAGTAAAACCGAGAAAGAAAAACCAAGAAAGTAAACCAAGAAAGTAAACCGAGAAAGTAAAACCAAGAAAGTTAAACCAAGAAAGTTAAACCGAGAAAGAAAAACCAAGAAAGTTAAACCAAGAAAGTAAACCGAGAAAGAAAAACCAAGAAAGTTAAACCAAGAAAGTAAACCGAGAAAGTAAAACCGAGAAAGTAAAACCGAGAAAGAAAAACCAAGAAAGTTAAACCAAGAAAGTAAACCGAGAAAGTAAAACCGAGAAAGTTAAACCGAGAAAGTTAAACCAAGAAAGTTAAACCAAGAAAGTAAACCGAGAAAGAAAAACCAAGAAAGTTAAACCAAGAAAGTAAACCGAGAAAGAAAAACCAAGAAAGTAAACCAAGAAAGTAAACCGAGAAAGAAAAACCAAGAAAGTAAAACCAAGAAAGTAAACCGAGAAAGTAAACCGAGAAAGTAAAACCAAGAAAGTAAACCGAGAAAGTAAAACCGAGAAAGAAAAACCAAGAAAGTAAACCAAGAAAGTAAACCGAGAAAGTAAAACCGAGAAAGAAAAACCAAGAAAGTAAACCAAGAAAGTAAACCGAGAAAGTAAAACCAAGAAAGTAAAACCAAGAAAGTAAACCAAGAAAGTAAACCAAGAAAGTAAACCGAGAAAGTAAACCAAGAAAGTAAACCAAGAAAGTAAACCAAGAAAGTAAAACCAAGAAAGTTAAACCAAGAAAGTAAACCAAGAAAGTAAAACCGAGAAAGTAAACCAAGAAAGTAAAACCGAGAAAGTAAACCGAGAAAGTAAACCAAGAAAGTAAACCAAGAAAGTAAAACCAAGAAAGTTAAACCAAGAAAGTAAAACCAAGAAAGTAAACCGAGAAAGTAAACCGAGAAAGAAAAACCAAGAAAGTTAAACCAAGAAAGTTAACCGAGAAAGAAAAACCGAGAAAGATAAACCAAGAAAGTAAACCGAGAAAGTAAACCGAGAAAGTAAAACCAAGAAAGTAAAACCAAGAAAGTAAACCAACAAAGTAAAACCGAGAAAGAAAACCAAGAAAGTAAAACCAAGAAAGTAAAACCAAGAAAGTAAAACCAAGAAAGTTAAACCGAGAAAGTAAAACCGAGAAAGTAAAACCAAGAAAGTAAAACCAAGAAAGTAAAACCAAGAAAGTAAAACCGAGAAAGTAAAACCAAGAAAGTTAAACCAAGAAAGTAAAACCAAGAAAGTAAAACCAAGAAAGTTAAACCGAGAAAGTAAAACCAAGAAAGTAAAACCAAGAAAGTAAAACCAAGAAAGTAAAACCGAAAAAGTTAAACCGAGAAAGTTAAACCAAGAAAGTAAAACCAAGAAAGTAAAACCAAGAAAGTAAAACCAAGAAAGTTAAACCAAGAAAGTTAAACCAAGAAAGTAAAACCAAGAAAGTAAAACCAAGAAAGTTAAACCGAGAAAGTTAAACCAAGAAAGTAAAACCAAGAAAGTAAAACCGAGAAAGTAAAACCAAGAAAGTAAAACCGAGAAAGTAAAACCGAGAAAGTAAAACCAAGAAAGTAAAACCAAGAAAGTAAAACCGAGAAAGTTAAACCAAAAAAGTTAAACAAAGAAAGTTAAACCGAGAAAGTTAAACCAAAAAAGTTAAACCAAGAAAGTAAAACCAAGAAAGTAAAACCAAGAAAGTTAAACCAAGAAAGTTAAACCGAGAAAGTAAAACCAAGAAAGTTAAACCAAGAAAGTAAAACCAAGAAAGTAAAACCAAGAAAGTTAAACCGAGAAAGTTAAACCAAGAAAGTAAAACCAAGAAAGTTAAACCGAGAAAGTTAAACCAAGAAAGTTAAACCAAGAAAGTTAAACCGAGAAAGTTAAACCAAGAAAGTAAAACTAAGAAAGTTAAACCGAGAAAGTTAAACCAAGAAAGTTAAACCAAGAAAGTTAAACCGAGAAAGTTAAACCAAGAAAGTTAAACCAAGAAAGTTAAACCAAGAAAGTTAAACCGAGAAAGTTAAACCAAAAAAGTTAAACAAAGAAAGTAAAACCAAGAAAGTAAAACCAAGAAAGTAAAACCAAGAAAGTTAAACCAAGAAAGTTAAACCGAGAAAGTTAAACCAAGAAAGTTAAACCAAGAAAGTTAAACCGAGAATGTTAAACCAAGAAAGTTAAACCGAGAAAGTAAACCGAGAAAGTTAAACCGAGAAAGTTAAACCAAGAAAGTAAAACCGAGAAAGTAAAACCGAGAAAGTTAAACCAAGAAAGTAAAACCAAGAAAGTTAAACCAAGAAAGTTAAACCAAGAAAGTAAAACCAAGAAAGTTAAACCAAGAAAGTTAAACCGAGAAAGATAAACCAAGAAAGTAAAACCAAGAAAGTAAAACCAAGAAAGTTAAACCAAGAAAGTAAAACCAAGAAAGTTAAACCAAGAAAGTTAAACCGAGAAAGATAAACCAAGAAAGTAAAACCAAGAAAGTAAAACCAAGAAAGTTAAACCAAGAAAGTTAAACCGAGAAAGATAAACCAAGAAAGTAAACCGAGAAAGATAAACCAAGAAAGTAAACCGAAAAAGTTAAACCAAGAAAGTTAAACCAAGAAAGTAAAACCAAGAAAGTAAAACCGAGAAAGTTAAACCGAGAAAGTAAAACCAAGAAAGTAAAACCAAGAAAGATAAACCAAGAAAGTAAAACCAAGAAAGTAAAACCAAGAAAGTAAAACCGAGAAAGTTAAACCAAGAAAGTAAAACCAAGAAAGTAAAACCGAGAAAGATAAACCAAGAAAGTAAACCGAAAAAGTTAAACCAAGAAAGTTAAACCAAGAAAGTTAAACCAAGAAAGTTAAACCAAGAAAGTAAAACCAAGAAAATAAAACCATGAAAGTAAAACCAAGAAAGTAAAACCATGAAAATAAAACCAAGAATGTAAAACCGAGAAAGTTAAACCAAGAAAGTAAAACCGAGAAATTAAAACCATGAAAGTAAAACCAAGAATGTAAAACCAAGAAAGTAAAACCAAGAAAGTAAAACCGAGAAATTAAAACCATGAAAGTAAAACCGAGAAAGTAAAACCATGAAAATAAAACCAAGAATGTAAAACCGAGAAAGTTAAACCAAGAATGTAAAACCGAGAAATTAAAACCATGAAAGTAAAACCGAGAAAGTTAAACCAAAAAAGTTAAACCAAGAAAATCAAACCAAGAAAGTAAATACAAGAAAGTTAAACCAAGAAAGTAAAACCAAAAAGTAAAACCAAGAAAGTTAAACCAAGAAAGTAAAACCAAGAAAGTAAACCCAAGAAAGTAAAACCAACAAAGTTAAACCAACAAAGTTAAACCAAGAAATTTAAACCAAGAAAGTTAAACCAAGAAAGTAAAACCGAGAAAGTAAACTGAGAAAGTAAAACCAAGAAAGTAAAACCAAGAAAGTAAAACCAACAAAGTTAAACCAACAAAGTTAAACCAAGAAATTTAAACCAAGAAAGTTAAACCAAGAAAGTAAACCAAGAAAGTTAAACCAAGAAAGTAAAACCAAAAAAGTAAAACCAAGAAAGTTAAACCAAGAAAGTAAAACCAAGAAAGTAAAACCAACAAAGTTAAACCAACAAAGTTAAACCAACAATGTTAAATCAAGAAAGTAAACCGAGAAAGTAAACCAAGAAAGTAAAATCAAGAAAGTAAAACCAAGAAAGTTAGACCGAGAAAGTAAAACCGAGAAAGTAAAACCGAGAAAGTCAATCCAAGAAAGTCAAACCAAGAAAAGTATGCGTACTGTGTGCTGTGTGCCCTATGTGCTGTGTGCCCGATGTGCTGTGTGTGCCGTGCGCTAGGGGTGGCGTCCATGCTGGTGTCGTTTCTGGTGGGTCTCTACTACAACACCATCCTCGCCTGGGTGATGTGGTACTTCTTCAACTCTTTCCAGGAGCCGCTCCCCTGGAAACACTGCCCCCTCAACCAGAACCAAACCGGTAACCACATCATCGACATCATTGGCATCATCAACATCATCGACATCGTCATTATCAACATGAACGACATCATCATTCTCAACATCATCGACATGAACATAATCATCGACATCATCATTTTCATCATTATCGCCAACATTATTATAACATCAACAGCGAGAGTGGTGGCGCAGTGATTAGCTGCGCTCTGAACCCGGCCAACACCAGTGGTGATTGTGTCAACCGGTCCTGGGCTTCCCCTAGGTTGACTCAACCTTAAATGAGGACCCAGTGCCGTGTGTAAACATCGGCACTGTGGACACAAAGGCGGCCGGGCATGGTGCTGGCCACCCACCATCCTTGCACGCCTTACCAGGCCTTACCAGTCTTTATAAGTGTAATAAGACTCTTTGAGATGACTTCTGGAATCCGTCTTTTATTCACTTTGGGTTACATCTACTTCACGCTGCTGATAGACAACGTGAAGGGACAGATAGACCGAGAGAGACGCACTGCCACGTGGCAACTCGGAGCCCCGCTCTCGCGTTGCTCCTTCCTCCGTTGGTTCCCGTTCTGACCACGTGTCGTTCCTCTCTACCCCTATTTAATCCCCGGGTCACGTGGTACGCTTCAGGCAATCCTCGTTAGCCTGCATCGAATCTTCCAGGCTCCCTCGTCAGCTCCCGGGACCACGCCCCTGACTCATCTCCCCATTGGCTGAGGCCAAAGCCAGCAGAACCAATCTCCATAGCTGTCACCCTTCCATCACGTCAGGGCCATGCCCCCAGGCTTCCCCCCATTGGCTGCAAACCAGGACCGGCAGAGCCAATCACCATGATAAGGTGTGATACATCAGTGAGCCGGATATATTCTCATATTACATAAGTGTAGTGACGTGGAATGAGTCACTGGAGCGTGTGCCGTTGGGAGATTGGGAGACATCGGTGAGCTCCTTCGGTCGGCGAGGCTGCCTTGGTTGGGTCATGTAGCCCGTATACCCAGCCACCGCATGTCCAAGCAGCTTCTGTTTGGCAGCATAGAGGGGGCTAAACGGGCACGGCATGGGCTGGAGAAGAGATGGATTGATGCGGTATAAGAGGATGTGGAGCTGAGTGGACTTGCCAATGACCGATACCAGTAGCTGCTGCTGGGAAAATTTCGATAGAATGTAATGTGTAATGACTTATTGTTAGTAGCTCAGCTTATTGGAGATTATATATTGAGTATATTGATGATATTGATGCAGTTTACATTTTAGTTTTTTATCGGTTCACTATATGATAGTCATTATATAGTGTATTGTATACCCAGCTACTTAATGTGAATAGCTCAGCTTATTGGAGAATATATTGAGTACATTGATTATATTGATGTAGTTTATATTTAGTTCTTTCACATCGGTTTATTGTATGATAGTGGGTGGTTGCAGTTCTTTAGCGTCAATATACTAAATGCCTCTGTTGATATGTAAACTCTGACTTTAACATAGCCACTTCCGTGACCAGTTACATGCTAATTCCTCACATTAACATCATGCTAATCTCCCAGTTGCATGCTAATTTCTGACTTTAACATCCTGCTAATTCTCTCACATTAACACAGCTTATTCAATCCTAAATTATTCTGTTGATATGAAAACTCCTTTGTCAAGGCGCTCTTCTCCTCCCACCCAGCTTAAAATACGCTGCCAAGCTTAGCAGTGTTCATTGGAGCGCTGTCTTTCAGACAGCTCTGTCTTCACCTGAGGACGGCTGCTTGTGTTGTGGCCGAAACGTCGTGAGAATTTTATATTATTATGTTTTATTTTTATTATTTTATTATTTCCCTTCTACGTGACTTTACCGAAAGAACCAAGAAGATGCTGCTGGGAAGTTTGAAGCAGTCACCCTCCAGCAACAACGGAGGGCAAAGGAGCGACGCTCACAACGACGAGCGGAGCACCGGGCCGATAAAACGCAGCAAGTTGGCACAGTGGGGAGCACAGGTGGTGCATTGGCCACTAATCTCAGTCAGCCAACCCTGAGTCTGTCTTGTGACCTACTGCTAGCGGGTTTTCGACACTTCACGTGGCCTTAAAGTGCACTTAGCCTGGCACAAGCGTTGTCGTGACGTCGCCACTTAGTGGAAAATGGCAGTTGTTGTGTGTGTGTGGTTGTTGAGTGTGTGGTTGGTGTGGTTGTTGAGTGTGTGGTTGCTGTATGTAGTTGTTGTGCTTGTTGTTGTATGTGTGGTTGTTGAGTGTGTGATTGTTGTTGTATGTGTGGTTATTTAGTGTGTGGTTGCTGTATGTGTGGTTGTTGCGGTTGTTGTATGTGTGGTGTTTGAGTGTGTGGTTGTTGTATGTTGTGTGGTTGTTGTGCTTGTTGTTGTATGTTGTGTGGTTGTTGAGTATGGTTGTATGTTGTGTGGTTGTTGTTGTTGAGTGTGTGGTTGTTGTTGTTGAGTGTGTGGTTGTTGTTGTTGTTGTGTGGCACAGGGTATGTGAGTGAGTGCGCCGACAGCTCCCCCGTGGACTACTTCTGGTACCGCGAGACGCTCAACATCAGCCCCAGCGTGGAGGAGAGCGGCGTGCCCCAGTGGTGGGTGGTGCTGTGCCACGTGGCCGCCTGGTCCATCGTCTATGTGTGCACCATCCGGGGCATCGAGACCTCGGGCAAGGTGCGGGGGGAGGGGGGGGGAGGTGATGATGACGATGTCGATGATGATGTTTTTGATGGTGACGATGTTGATACAGATGATGCTCGTGATGATGATGTCTGTGATAATGACGATGTCGATGATGACGATGACGATGTTGATGATGTTCCTGGTGATGATGACGATGTTGATGATGTTCCTGGTGATGATGACGATGTTGATGATGTGCCAGGCCGTCTACGTCACCGCTACCTTCCCCTACCTCGTCATCTTCATCTTCCTGGTGCGTGGACTCACGCTCGAGGGGGCAACCGACGGACTCGTCTACCTCTTCACTCCGGACGTGAGACTCCTCACCTCATCTCACCTCATCTCACCTCATCAACTCCTCACTACCTGCCACTACCTCTTCACCACCACCTGACCTACTCACCTCTTCACAACCTCACCTACTCACAAACTCCTCAACCTCCTGACACTGCTTCTACTCACCACCAACTCCTCACTCCTCAACATCCTGACACTGCTTCTACTCACCACCACCTCGTCACTCCTCAACCTCCTGACACTGCTCTACTCACCACCACCTCGTCACTCCTCAACCTCCTGACACAGCTCTACTCACCACCACCTCCTCACTCCTCAATCTCCTGACACTGCTCTACTCACCACCACCTCGTCACTCCTCAACCTCCTGACACTGCTCTACTCACCACCACCTCGTCACTCCTCAACCTCCTGACACTGCTCTACTCACCACCACCTCCTCACTCCTCAACCTCCTGACACCGCTTCTACTCACCACCACCTCGTCACTCCTCAACCTCCTGACACTGCTTCTACTCACCACCACCTCGTCACTCCTCAACCTCCTGACACAGCTCCTACTCACCACCACCTCGTCACTCCTCAACCTCCTGACACTGCTCTACTCACCACCACCTCGTCACTCCTCAACCTCCTGACACTGCTCTACTCACCACCACCTCGTCACTCCTCAACCTCCTGACACTACTCTACTCACCACCACCTCGTCACTCCTCAACCTCCTGACACTGCTCTACTCACCACCACCTCGTCACTCCTCAACCTCCTGACACTGCTCTACTCACCACCACCTCGTCACAACTCAACCTCCTGACACTGCTTCTACTCACCACCACCTCGTCACTCCTCAACCTCCTGACACAGCTTCTACTCACCACCACCTCGTCACTCCTCAACCTCCTGACAACGCTTCTACTCACCACCACCTCGTCACTCCTCAACCTCCTGACACAGCTCTACTCACCACCACCTCGTCACTCCTCAACCTCCTGACAACGCTTCTACTCACCACCACCTCGTCACTCCTCAACCTCCTGACACTGCTTCTACTCACCACCAACTCCTCACGACTCAACCTCCTGACACTGCTTCTACTCACCACCACCTCGTCACTCCTCAACCTCCTGACACTGCTTCTACTCACCACCAACTCCTCACGACTCAACCTCCTGACACTGCTTCTACTCACCACCACCTCGTCACTCCTCAACCTCCTGACACTGCTTCTACTCACCACCACCTCCTCACTCCTCAACCTCCTGACACTGCTTCTACTCACCACCACCTCCTCACTCCTCAACCTCCTGACACTGCTTCTACTCACCACCACCTCGTCACTCCTCAACCTCCTGACACTGCTCTACTCACCACCACCTCCTCACTCCTCAACCTCCTGACACTGCTCTACTCACCACCAACTCCTCACGACTCAACCTCTTCACAGGGACGTGAGACTCACCGGTGACTCAACACAAAGTCAAAGATCCCCTGTATAACCTTTAACACTGTTAGGGCAAGTGCTGTTCGCGAGCACCTATAAAGGCCAGAACGGTACACGTGGGGGTGGGTGGTTCAGCACCACGCCCGGCCGCCTTTGTCTCTCCAGTAGCGATGTTTACACGCCGCACCGGGTACTCGTTTGAGGTTGAGTCGACCTAGGAGAGGCCCAGGACCGGTTCATCTATTCGTCACTGGTGTTTGTGGCTGTGAGTGAGAATGGAACTCAGCGCCAGGTTCGTAGTGCATCACGTTAGCCACGACGCCAGCGGATCTCACCGGGGTGCGCGGCAATGTCCCCGAGGGCACGTGAGGTGATTTAAAAATGTGTGAAATTAGACCGTGATTCATCATGTGTGAATCTGCCAATATAAAATAACTGCGATAAAATGTAAATCCACATGGTAACCTAGAGCGAGATGAAATACCTTTCTAAATGTATCGATCATTAACAATGTGGGCTACCAGCAGAACCAGCAAGCCCCTAAACGGTCCATTGCGCGTGCATAGCATCCGTTGAATTTTGTTTTATTCGTTTGCAGTTACTAATTCATAACATTTATTTGTCAGAACCACGTGGGATCAGGCAAGGGGTGGGGGTGTAACTCAATTGAAACTAAATTCAACATGGGGGGTAACTTCTAGATTTGAAGCTTTCGTGACTGCAAGGATTCATATTCTTAGGTTTTTTCGGTAAAGTCACGTAGGTAAAAAATTTAAATTAATCAAAGTAAAATAAAAATAAGATAAAAATTACGACGTTTCGGAGGCAACACAAGCTTCCGTCTTCAGGTGGAACCATCACAGCACGATAGCTGTATCAAGTAAGAGAAATTCCAAGAAAACAGTCCTTGTATATACAGTATACTGGTTGAGGGTGGGAGGAGCCAAGGTAGGCCTTGGATATTATTATTGTGAGGTTTATTAATTTTAATTTAACATTTTTACCTACGTGACTTTACCGAAAAAACCTAAGAATAAGGGGGGGTAACACAGTTGCCAACAAAGGTTGAGAAGCACTGCTCTCTCCACCAGTCACCACAGCAGACCCTCACCACAGCAGACCCTCACCACAGCAGACCCTCACCACAGCAGACCCTCACCACAGCAGACCCTCACCACAGCAGACCCTCACCACAGCAGACCCTCACCACAGCAGACACTCACCACAGCAGACCCTCACCACAGCAGACCCTCACCACAGCAGACACTCACCACAGCAGACCATCACCACAGCAGACCCTCACCACAGCAGACCCTCACCACAGCAGACCCTCACCACAGCAGACACTCACCACAGCAGACCCTCACCACAGCAGACCCTCACCACAGCAGACACTCACCACAGCAGACCATCACCACAGCAGACCCTCACCACAGCAGACCCTCACCACAGCAGACCCTCACCACAGCAGACCCTCACCACAGCAGACACTCACCACAGCAGACCCTCACCACAGCAGACCCTCACCACAGCAGACACTCACCACAGCAGACACTCACCACAGCAGACGCTCACCACAGCAGACCCTCACCACAGCAGACCCTCACCACAGCAGACGCTCACCACAGCAGACCCTCACCACAGCAGATCCTCACCACAGCAGACCCTCACCACAGCAGACCCTCACCACAGCAGACGCTCACCACAGCAGACCCTCACCACAGCAGATCCTCACCACAGCAGACGCTCACCACAGCAGACCCTCACCACAGCAGACACTCACCACAGCAGACACTCACCACAGCAGACACTCACCACAGCAGACCCTCACCACAGCAGACACTCACCACAGCAGACACTCACCACAGCAGACACTCACCACAGCAGACCCTCACCACAGCAGACCTTCACCACAGCAGACACTCACCACAGCAGACCCTCACCACAGCAGACCTTCACCACAGCAGACACTCACCACAGCAGACACTCACCACAGCAGACGCTCACCACAGCAGACCCTCACCACAGCAGACCCTCACCACAGCAGACCCTCCCCACAGCAGACCCTCACCACAGCAAACGCTCACCACAGCAGACCCTCACCACAGCAGACCCTCACCACAGCAGACCCTCACCACAGCAAACGCTCACCACAGCAGACCCTCACCACAGCAGACCCTCACCACAGCAGCCCCATACCACAGCAAACGCTCACCACAGCAAACGCTCACCACAGCAGACCCTCCCCACAGCAGACCCTCACCACAGCAAACGCTTACCACAGCAGACCCTCACCACAGCAGACCCTCACCACAGCAGACCCTCACCACAGCAAACGCTCCCCACAGCAGACCCTCACCACAGCAGACCCTCACCACAGCAGACCCTCACCACAGCAAACGCTCACCACAGCAGACCCTCACCACAGCAGACCCTCACCACAGCAGACCCTCACCACAGCAAACGCTCACCACAGCAGACCCTCACCACAGCAGACCCTCACCACAGCAGACCCTCACCACAGCAGACCCTCACCACAGCAGACCCTCACCACAGCACACGCTCACCACAGCAGACCCTCACCACAGCAGACCCTCACCACAGCAGACCCTCACCACAGCAGACCCTCACCACACCCTCCACCGCCCTGCCCCCACCCCAGCTCGAGGTTCTCAAGAACCCCAAGGTTTGGTTGGACGCCTCCACCCAGATCTTCTACTCGCTCTCGCTGGCGTTCGGCGGTCTCATCGCCTTCTCCAGCTACAACCCCATCCGGTGTGGACAAACACAGACAACCCTCCAACACACACACAATCCTCCAACACACACAATCCTCCAACGCACACACACACACACAACCCTCCAACACACACACAACCCTCCAACACACACAATCCTCCAACACACACACACACACAACCCTCGAACACACACACACAACCCTCCAACACACACACACACAACCCTCCAACACACACACAACCCTCCAACACACACACAATCCTCCAACACACACACATACAATCCTCCAACACACACACACACAACCCTCCAACACACACACACACAATCCTCCAACACACACAATCCTCCAACACACACACACACAACCCTCGAACACACACACAACCCCCCAACACACACACACACAACCCTCCAACACACACACAACCCTCCAACACACACACAATCCTCCAACACACACACACACAACCCTCCAACACACACACAATCCTCCAACACACACACACAATCCTCCAACACACACACACAACCCTCCAACACACACACAACCCTCCAACACACACACACAACCCTCCAACACACACACACAACCCTCCAACACACACATACACACAACCCTCCAACACACACACAATCCTCCAACACACACACAATCCTCCAACACACACACAACCCTCCAACACACACACACACAACCCTCCAACACACACACACAACCCTCCAACACACACACACATACACACAACCCTCCAACACACACACAACCCTCTAACACACACACACACAACCCTCCAACACACACAATCCTCCAACACACACACACACACAACCCTCCAACACACACACACAACCCTCCAACACACACATACACACAACCCTCCAACACACACACACAATCCTCCAACATACACACACAATCCTCCAACACACACACACACAACCCTCCAACACACACACAATCCTCCAACACACACACACATAACCCTCCAACACACACACAATCCTCCAACACACACACACACACACAATCCTCCAACACACACACACACACACAACCCTCCAACACACACATACACACAACCCTCCAACATACACACAATCCTCCAACACACACACACAATCCTCCAACACACACACACACAACCCTCCAACACACACACACAACCCTCCAACACACACACACACAACCCTCCAACACACACACACAACCCTCCAACACACACACAACCCTCCAACACACACACACGCAACCCTCCAACACACACACACACAACCCTCCAACACACACACAACCCTCCAACACACACACACAACCCTCCAACACACACGCACAACCCTCCAACACACACACAACCCTCCAACACACACACAATTCTCCAACACACACACACACAACCCTCCAACACACACACACAACCCTCCAACACACACACACAACCCTCCAACACACACACAACCCTCCAACACACACACACAATTCTCCAACACACACACACACAACCCTCCAACACACACACACAACCCTCCAACACACACACACACACAACCCTCCAAAATACACACAATCTTCCAACACACACACACACACAACCCTCCAACACACACAACCCTCCAACACACACACAACCCTCCAACACACACACACAACCCTCCAACATACACACAACCCTCCAACACACACACAACCCTCCAACACACACACACACAACCCTCCAACACACAAACACAACCCTCCAACAGACACACACATACAATCCTCCAACACACACAACCCTCCAACACACACACACAACCCTCCAACACACACACACAACCCTCCAACACACACACACAACTCTCCAAAATACACACAATCCTCCAACACACACAACCCTCCAACACACACACACACACAACCCTCCAACACACACACAACCCTCCAACACACACACAACCCTCCAAAACACACAATCCTCCAACACACACACACACAACCCTCCAACACTCACACACACAACCCTCCAAAACACACACACAACACTCCAACACACACACACACAACACTCCAACACACACACACACACAACCCTCCAACACACACACACAACCCTCCAACACACACACAATCCTCCAACACACACACAATCCTCCAACACACACACAACCCTCCAACACACACACACACAACCCTCCAACACACACACACAACCCTCCAACACACACACACATACACACAACCCTCCAACACACACACAACCCTCCAACACACACACACACAACCCTCTAACATACACACATACAACCCTCCAACACACACAATCCTCCAACACACACACACACAACCCTCCAACACACACACACAACCCTCCAACACACACATACACACAACCCTCCAACACACACACAACCCTCCAACACACACACACAATCCTCCAACACACACACACAATCCTCCAACACACACACATAACCCTCCAACACACACACAATCCTCCAACACACACACACAATCCTCCAACACACACACACACACAACCCTCCAACACACACATACACACAACCCTCCAACATACACACAATCCTCCAACACACACACACAATCCTCCAACACACACACACACACAACCCTCCAACACACACACACAACCCTCCAACACACACACACACAACCCTCCAACACACACACACACAACCCTCCAACACACACATAACCCTCCAACACACACACACAACCCTCCAACACACACACACAACCCTCCAAAATACACACAATCCTCCAACACACACACACACACAACCCTCCAACACACACACACACAACTATCCAACACACACACACACAACCCTCCAATACACACACAACCCTCCAACACACACACACAACCCTCCAACATACACACAACCCTCCAACACACACACCCACACACAATCCTCCAACACACACACACAACCCTCCAACACACACACAACCCTCCAACACACACACAACCCTCCAACATACACACAACCCTCCAACAGACACACACATACAATCCTCCAACACACACAACCCTCCAACACACACACACACAACCCTCCAACACACACACAACTCTCCAAAATACACACAACCCTCCAACACACACACACACACAACCCTCCAACACACACACAACCCTCCAACACACACACACAACCCTCCAACACACACACACCCCTCCAACAGACACACAATCCTCCAACACACACACACACAACCCTCCAACACACACAATCCTCCAACACACACACACACAACCCTCCAACACTCACACACACAACCCTCCAAAACACACACACACACAACACTCCAACACACACACACACAACACTCCAACACACACATACACACAACCCTCCAACACACACACACAACCCTCCAACACACATACACACAACACTCCAACACACAGACACAGCTTCTGTTTGGCAGCATGGAGGGGGCTACACGGGCGCGGGCTAGGGATGAGATGGAGTGATGCGGTACAGGAGGACGTGGAGCTGAGTGGACTTGCCGATGACTGGGGTTGCATATTTGGCGATCGTGGGTACAAACTCGGCGACCCCAGTTTGATTCCCGCTCAATGCCAACACCAGTGATGAATATCTGAACCTGTCCTAGGCCTCCCCTAGGTCTACTCGGCTTCAAATGAGCACCTGGTGCGGTGTGTAAACATCAGCGCTGGGGAGACAAAGACGGCCGGGCGTGGTGCCAGCCAACCCATTCCGTTGTGTGCTGCCTAACAGCACTTTCCCCAACAGTGGGTGATGAGGCTGCATGGGGGTCTTTCTCTGTGGCTGCAGGAACGACTGCGAGGTGGACGCGGTGACCATCGCTTGCATCAACAGCGCGACCTCGCTCTTCGCCTCCATCCCCATCTTCAGCATCCTGGGCTTCAAGGCCACCATGGCCTTTAACGGCTGCCTCGACGGGTGGGTGGGGGGCGGGGGTGGGTGGGTGGGTGGGGGGCGGGGTGGGGGACGGGTGGTGGGGGTGAGTGGAGGTACAGGGGGGGGGGTTTGGGGAACGGAGGGGAGGGGGTAGGGGTGGGTAGGGTGCTAGGGTAGAGTGGCAGCTGGGTGTTGTAACCTTCTGACCCCGTGCCCCTGCTGGACATGGGTGAAATAAAGCTTCATGGTTCATCAGATAAATCAAGATTATGATCGTGGGTGGTTGGTGTGCCCCCACCACCCCCGCTGCCCCCGCCCCCCCAGGAACATCCTGTCCCTCGTGAACGAGTTCGACCTGCCCGAGGGCAACATCACGCGGGCCTCCTACGAAGCCGACCTCGCCGCACTCAATTCCACGTGGCCGGGCCGCGTGGACGCGCTCGCCCTGCGCTACTGCGACCTCCAGGACTTCCTCAACCAGGTGGGGGGGCGGGCGGGGTGGTGGAGGGGGAGTTCTCAGTGGGGGGAGGGGGTAATGAGTGGGTTGGGTGGCTGGAGGGTAACTCCTGTATGGAAGTTGAGGAGGCAGGCGCCTCCAGGAGTCTCTCACAAAGTTGTGACGAGACTAAAACCACAAATTGTTTTGTCTTTGACCAGGTAAGGCCCTACTCAGCTATGTAGCTATTTTCAGAACCGACCTGTCCTCGAATGAGAGCTCAACAAAGTGGCTTATCATCATCATCATTATTTGGAAAGCTATAGCAGCCAAATATCCTAAATGCATGTCGATTCTCAACGTGGAGGGGAAACTCGGAGGAGCTGGAGAAAAATCCACGCGACCACGAGAAGAGAGACACGCAAACTCCAAAAATACAGCAGCAGGCGTCAGGGTTGGGATGGAACCCACGACCTCCTGTATAGCAGGCGAGGTAGCGACCAACTCACCACCGTGGCGGCCCTGCTCAGGGTGTTGGAGGAGGAAATATTCCTGGGTTGATTCATTATAATTGAGGCGTTGTCCTCCAGGACTTGCTCAACAATGCACGGGACTGGGGAGAGGGGCTGCTGGGGAGGGGCGAGGGGAGGGGCGAGGGGGGGGGGAGTTCGCGGGTCTTGGGGACGATGGGGAGGGGGCCTCAACGGCGGTTCGTAAATTCTGGAACCTCCTGGGTCAAGGTCGAAGAGGCCGTGAAAGCCAATCGGCTGATGGACCGAACGTCCTGATGGTGGTCTCTGTGGGAACACGGAGTTGAGCTCTCGCACCCTCGTGGAGGCCACGCCCCACGCACAACTGGTGACGATCACTCCGTAGTGTGGACCGAGGCTCCTTGCCGACTACATCTGCAGGCAACGAACCTGCGGCGTTAGGTTCCAGCAAGGCTGACTGATGCAGCGTCTCCTTGGCAGCTCGAAACCGGGGCGGAGTTTCGCCTGCGTTTTTGAACCAATGCTGCCGATGAAATGCGCTCGCAGACAGCAGAAGGCCGTGTGTGGGGCTGATGGGATGTGTAAAACGCGCAATTGTATTTGTTGTGTGGAGGGAGGAGACTTGGGAAGGATGTGAGTTGTCCGCTCGTTAGGTGTAGTAATCCCTTCCCCCTCCTCCCCCCTGCCAGGCTGCGTCTGGGACCGGCCTGGCCTTCATCATCTTCACAGAAGCCATCGTTAACATGCCCGGCTCCCAGGTGAACACGCCCAGAGGTCACTCACTCACAGTCACTCACTCGCAGAGTCACTCACTCGCAGGGTCACTCACTCGCAGGGTGACTCCCTCACAGAATTACTCACTCAGAGAGTCACTCACTCGCAGGGGTCACTCACTCGCGGTCCCCACTCGCGCCCCCGCTCGGCCATCGTGAGCCTCTGACCACGGGCGCGATGCGTCGCGTGGCCGCAGGTGTGGTCGGTGCTCTTCTTCATCATGCTCTTCATGCTGGGCCTCTCCACCATGTTCGGCAACATTGAGGGGATTATCAACCCGCTCACCGACCTCGGAGTCATCCCCAAGTCCATGCCCAAGGAGGCCGTCACAGGTACCTCGCTCGCTTCCGCACGGCGATGATGGGGACGATGGTAGTGCTGATGATTTTGTGCTGCCAATGAAGAGCGACCGTGAGAGATTGATATTAATGTGTTTGAGCCGTTCAAGTGCTTTGTGGTAAATTACAAACTCACCCATCTAGCCTCTCACCCATCCACCCACTCATCCATCCACCCACCCATTGATCCATCCATCCACCCACTCGCTCTCCTTTTCACCGACTCACTACACCCACTCATCCAATTAGTCATCCACTCACACACTCATTCACCCACCCATTCACCCACTCAGTCACGTACCCACGCACACACTCACTCATCCACTCACTGACCCACCCACCCACTCACCCATCCACCCATTGACTCACCCATCCACTCACTCGACCACTCACCCAAGAGGAGGCCATTGTGTGCCGCCATCACGAATCCAAATCCGAGCAGGATTCCACAGAGCACGGCCATCGACTCCCCTGGCACTGCAAACACATGGCAGGACCCTCCTGAACAAGGGTCGTGGGACTCGGCGAAGCTTCCATTGGTAATTCGATTGGAGTGACGATGATGATGACGATGATGACGATGATGACGATGATTGGTGGCGGGTGTGGTGGTGGCGGCGGCGGTGCAGGCGTGCTGTGCCTGGCGTGCATGCTGCTTGGCCTGGTGTTCACGTTGAGCTCAGGGAACTACTGGCTCACCGTCTTTGACAACTATGCCGGCTCGGTGCCACTGCTCGTCATCGCCTTCTTCGAGGTCATCGGCGTCATCTACCTCTATGGCTATGACAGGTAGCGCCCCCCTCCCCCCCTCCCCCCCCCCAATCATCAAGATTGCCGCTACAACCGGGGGCCACATCGCCACCCATGCCCATCCTCGCAAACTGGTGGCCACAGGTAGGATCCACTGGTGCTGTCCACTGATGGTGCCCACTGATTCCCATCCATGTGGTCACCTCATGTCTTGACTAAAACACACAGTCACTCAGCACAGCGCCCGACGGCCCTTAAACACCAAGCGGCCAGCAACAAACAGCACTAACAACGTTGTAACGAGAATAGAGAAGTCATGTCTCGAATTGAGAGAGGTTCTTGTTGTGAGCGCGAGGGTAGAAGGGACGATGGTGGTGGTGGTGATGATGGGAAAGGGGATTCCAGAGTGGAGCGGAGCGAGGGAAAAAGCAGAGAGAAGTGCAGTGTGGTGAGTTGGTGGGTGGGTAAATAGATGGGTGATTGGATGGGTTACGTGGGGTGTGTTGTTGTATGTTGAGCGGTCGCACAGCGGTGAGTGGATTGCATTACGAACCCGGCGACCTGTGTTCGATTCCTGTTCACGGACAACACTAGTGACGAATATCATAACCCATCCTCAAATTACACTGGTCTACAGCCAACATGCTTAAGAAATAAATGTAGTCCAACTTTACAAATTATAGGTCACTGAGAATGAAAATGATGCTTAAAATTGTTGATTGGCTCCAGTTTTCAAGATATGCTACTCGGTCACTATATACGACCCTTGACTTGGGCATTATGGAGGATAAGTGAGTTATAAAGGGAATGGATCTCAATTTAAACCAGAAATGACTAAAATACATATTTCACTGGATCTATGAATACATCTATGACTGGGTTTGGACAGTCCTTGCTTTTTGAGCAAAACAATGAATGATGTAATCTGAACCTGGTATTGCATCATACATGATATGAATTACATCATGTTATTCCTAGAAGTTATGGATAATGCAATCATAACGAGTCTAGTGTTAATAAGTACAAAAAAAAAATAGTAGATGATGAGTTCGAAGGCGATGAATGGGTACTAAGCGTTGTGTTCTGCCCTCCTTCTGAGAATTGGATGAGTTCACCACCAAGGGACACCAGAGGATTGTGTGACTGCAACCCTTTATTTCAAAGTGTTCTTCTGAGGAGCATTCGTGCATCTGTCATTATGACCAGATGCACAGCCATCAACCCCAATTCACACCATCTCACTGCTCAACCCCTGTACTGTACAGCGTCCACCCAAATCTGAATAGGTGCCCTGTACCCTGAATTGATTACTCTACTGGTGGACGTGGCCTACTGTGCACTCACGTGACCCAATGGGCCAGATCTACGGCCATTATTACTTTCATTCACAATTATACTTGTGGTTCATTTACATTTAAGCCCATACCGGCTGCACTCACCCCACCTGAACCACACTAATTGTTGTACTCCTGTTTTCCAAAACAATATATAGAACCTATCAGCATCTCTCACGACAGAGGCCACTAGACTTCTCCAGTACAACACCGAGACGAGATGACCCAGCATCTGGACCCAAGTATACCTCTAGGACTTGGTCTCCTTATCACAGCTTAGTAGCTACTCGCTTTAAAAGTAAGGAGAACATCGAGGATGAGCCGTCCCAGGTGTCCCTTAGTTTAATGTGGTGCCTTATGCACCCCACTGGACTTGGTCACTCTTCTGCCTGAGCCTCCCGACACGTTTTGGTTCCCAAAAATAACCTACCCCTCTGGACAGGCAATAAGGGAAGAACAAATAAAAAAATGAACAAAAACTTAATGAAATGCTCAACAAATCTCACAATGGCTGCCCATATGTAATAAAAGGACTCGGACACTTCCTTCTGTCTTCGTGTCTTTTATTGGGTTCTCGTCCTCACCCACACGGCACTCTGTTATAACTCTGTATTTGTAGCCCCCGGCTATTCACTGCTATTATAGCTCCTTCTTCCCTCTGACTCTCTGCTTCATCTACCGTAACCTCCTCCCTGCAGACTCGCTGCTACCTCTATGCAGACTCCCGCTGCTTCGGGTCGGTCACCGCTGGCCAACGGTGCCGATCCTCGCTCCCCCGTGTTCGTGGCGATCTCGCCACCCTCCGCTTCGCCCTTCGTGGCCTCTCTCTGTTCCTGGTTCCCCGTCACTCCCCGTCCTCTTCCGGTTCCCCTCCTTCTATAGCCTAACCCCTCACCCCCCCACGTGACCTAACTCCTCCCCTCATGACGGCACCTCCGGAGGGCCGTTTACACCCGCATTACATCACCCTCCCCCATAAAGAAAATCCAGCCGACCTCGGCTGAATTGCAACCTGAAAAGCAATGCGGGTGTAAAGGGCCAACACGTAAAAAGACACGAAGCATGCAAGAACAATATAACAATGAACACAACACAACACAATCTAACGAAACGTGAGGGATTTCGAGCGAGTACGGGTAGCCGGGCCGTCCCGGACGGTCGGCAGCCCACCCGCCGAGCGGGAACGTGGAAGGGTTTTAGGGGCGACGGGCGCAAGTTCTTCCATCGCCATTGGAGGCCCGCCACTGTCCCGCTCGCGTCCAGAGACATCCCGTACTCGCGTCCGCGGAGGGATAGGAAGAGCTGCAGGTCCCGTGGGTTCCGCGGCACCGGTCGGCATCCCACGAGCGGAACGTCCTCCTCCCTGCGCTGTCACGGCCGGCTTGTCTGTGAAGGGTACGGCAGGCGCTTTCGCAAGGTCAGCAGACACAGGCAAGGGCGAGTCGGCAGCAACAGACCCCGGCAAGGCAACTTCGGGAGATGACGCATCCGGCCGCGGGGCAATGTATGGCTTCAACCGGGATGTATGCACGAACCAGCGCCGCGAACCAACCTGAACACGCGCCGACTGTGGGTTGGGAACCTCAATGAGGCGGACCGGACCTTGCCACGGTTTGTGTAATTTAGGAGAGGTACCTGGCCGCACCTGTGGGCAATGAAGCCAGGCCAGGTCCCCCTTCTTCCAGGGGCACTCCCCCTTCGAACGTCGGGCACACCGCTCATTCCTGGCCTGAGCTTTGGCTGTAGCCATGCGGGCTCTTTCCCTCGCCTCAGTGACACGGCGAACGTTGTCCTGAATATACTCAGGAAGAGGCTTAACAGGCCCCCTCGCACCGGTTCCCAACTGCTCATTAATCGGCGGCACATTCTCACGGCCGTACATAAGGAAGAACGGCGAGTATCCAGTAGCCGCGTGCGGCGTCATGCGATACGCCGAAAGCACCCCAGGGATATGCAAATCCCAATCAGATTGATTTTCCCCGACTGTATGGCACAGCATGGCGGACAGAGTCCGATTCAACCGTTCCACCATCCCATCCGTTTGTGGGTGGTAGGGGGACGTCCGTATCTTTTTAGTTCCCAAAGCCGCACACACCTCCCCCAACAATTTGGACGAAAAGTTACGCCCCTGATCTGTAAGGAGCCTCTCCGGCGCCCCCTTGTCCATTACATACCCAAATAGAAAGGCGTCAGTGATAGACGCCGCTGACTGGTCAGGCAAAGGCCAGGCCATCGGCCAGCGAGAGAGGTACTCCACCCCCACCAGTAAATACTTATTTCCCTTAGCGGATGGCGGAAAGGGTCCCAAAATATCTAACGCCACCAGCTCATTAACCCGAGATACTTGAATCGATTGTATCGGCGGAACATATGGATGTTTAGGTGGTTTACGGCGGGCACAATCGGGACACGCGCGAACGTGACCGACGACATCCGTCGTCATGCCGTGCCAATAATAGTCTCGTTGCAGCGTCAATAGGGTTTTCTGCACCCCCAGGTGTAAAAGTGTGTCACAGTGCAAAGATCTAATCAACTCGTACCGCAATGACGCAGGCACAACGAGACGCCAGTGTTCCTGTATCCCTTCCCTCCACATCAGTAACCCATCTCGGAGAGCAGTTTCCGAAATACCACCCGCACCGAGTTCCTTACCCGCCTTCTCCGTTCGTTTTCGTAACGACACCAAAGAATCATCCAACATTTGCTCCCGAATCCACACAGACCTCGGAAGACACAAAATCCCGTCACCCGGTCCCCCATCAACCGGTCCCGGTGTAAGCGGAGTTTCGAGAACATCCACCGCCAGCGCGACAGGCTGAGGGGGGGGCTGAGTCGGTCCACACCTATGCGTCCCCGACGCACACGCACAAGGGGATTGTTGCGGCAACCTGGACAGTGCGTCCGCGTTAGCGTGACGCACACCCTTCCGATGGTGAATTTGGAAGGAAAATTCTTGCAACGTGTCCAGCCATCTCGCCAATTGTCCGGATGGCTGGTCCATCTTAAGAGCGTACTGTAAGGCCGCATGGTCCGTGCGGACAATAAACGACCGACCGTACAGATACGGTCGAAATTGGCGGAGAAAAAACACAATAGCCAAAAGTTCCCTGCGAGTGACGCAGTAACGGGTTTCCGCGGGAGACAAAACTCGACTCCCATACGCCACCACACGCTCAACACCACCTTTTGACTGGGACAACACCGCCCCAATACCAGTGTCACTCGCATCAGTATCCAGAATGAAGGGATGTTCAAAATCCGGATAATCCAACGTCGGCGCAGTAGCCAGTAAATCGCGCAGGCTCCGAAACGCCGCCTCCTCCGGCGGTCCCCACACAAATTTATGCCCCTTCCCAGTAAGGAGATGCAAAGGCCTGGCGATAGTAGCGAAATTCGGAACAAACCTCCGATAATATGAGGCGAACCCCAAAAACCGACGCACATCACCCACCGTGGCCGGGGTTGCCCAATCCCGGACACAAGCAGTTTTCTCTGGATCCGTGGCCACCCCGTCCGCACTAACAATATGTCCCAAGTATCGAACGGAGCGTTGCAGTAAATGACATTTCTTAGGCTTGAATTTCAAATTAGCAGAACGCATTCTGGCAAATACAGCCTCCAACCGCAGTAAATGCTCATCAAATGTGCGGCTGAAGACAATAATATCATCTAAATAAATGAGACATGTCTCCCACTGCAACCCCG